TTGTTTTTAACAAGACAGGAACTTTGCCTAAAAACAGGATGACCTGCTGCAAAAGACGCCAACAAATCCCTGTAGAGCTTTAGAAAAAACAAGCAGGCGCCTGAGTGTGCTTTAAAAAAAAAAAAAAAAAAATCCTGCCTAGTAATAAAAAGGGATGTGAGGGTAAACAGGAAAAGAGCACTCCACACTGCGAGCAGCGCAGAGGAGGAGAGGCTGGGAAGAGCGCTGATCTGAAAACCTGATAGGGAAACCTAAGAGAAAGATTTCTTAATAATCCCCAGGACAAACTCCCTGTGAAAACACAAGCCTCAATGCAGCTTTGAGGGGCAGTTGCTAGCTAGTTCCTGTGTGCCTTTGTACGGGTAGTATGGAGGGTTTGGGAGGGTAGCATGGGCTCTGCAGATTTTGTTGGCTGGCTTCTGTGGCTGTAAAGAAGTGTAATTTCTGGCTTGCATGAAATAAAGGCTTAAGAGACATTTCTATGGCATAACTTTATTTCCTGATGATGAAGCTACTGCAGTTCTGCACACCTGTGCTGCAGTTACACTGCAGTACAGCTCACTCTCCCAGTTTTAGTGTGAATCTCATGACATATGTTGTTTTCCACTAAGCCCTAGCTCCTCAAGTCTTGCAATTTCATGACAGTCTCGGTTTTCATGTGTCTGAAACAAGTCTTTCTAGCTTTCATGCCTAAGAAAGAAAGTCTTGAAATCATAAAGGCAGCTTACCATAATTCATAGAATGAAGCCCCTATTATTGATATTTCTTTGATGGTAAATTTTAAAATCAAATACTGTTTTGAGGAATTAGGATATTGATATTTGGGCTTGATCATGCTGACAACTTCTACTTGTTGGCAGAATTTGCAGACTCAAATACTAAGCAAGTTTCCCACCGCAACCCGCGTACTGTCCGTGAGACACCCACAGCGATAAACCTGATGGGATACGTATGCAGCATCAGGCCCAGGGACAGCAAAATCATTTGCAGCAGGTTTCTCCTCAGTGCTGCTTCAAAGTTGTAACTTCCTCAGAACTGAAATAACAACTTACCACAGCTTGTGTTCACATGTGGCCAGAAGTGGATTTGGCAGGCCATAAAATCCACTGACAGTAAAAGATTCATCCTCTCAAATGTAGGGCCTGGCCTGTATCAAAAGGCAGGTGAGTGGTATGACTTTGTGTTGGGGCTTTTGGCATAGAGGTTGCTCCCCCCTGGGCACCAGACAGCTCTGTGCAGTGGCAGCAATGCTCCTGCACTCACCGAAAGAGCACAGCTTTTCTGTTTTGGGGGGTCCTGTGGAAAATGCTGCAGTTCAGACAAACACCTATGGCCTCACAGGCACTGATGGGAGTTACAGAGAGGCTTTGGGGTCACCTCCCCTGGATGCAGCCCTGGGGCTCCTTCAGCTCCCTGCAGGTGTTCACCAGTCCTGATCAGGTCCACATCCCCCCGTACCAGTCTGCCTTCCATAGAGGCTCCAGCCCCCTTTGAGTGGGGGAGAACAGGGAAGGAAGACTTGTTTGTAAACTCTTCAGATAATGGAAAAGCCATTAGCCCCCACCCACCTGGGTATTGCTTTAAGGTTGACAAAGAACAGCTCCCCTCACCCAGGAGGAGGACTGGTGCTGGGAGTGCTCGGTGCAGAGGCTGACCTGAGGCTGGGCATCTCAGACTGGGGGCCCAGCTCTGCAGCCAGTCACAGGGGCAATAGTTCCCCCTGCACACCTTTTCAGCCCCTGCATCTGATGCAAAACACTTCCCGCTCAGGAGCTATTCTGTTTCGATTTGTGATCACTTCACCTGCATCATTCAGTTTTGCACCTGCTTTCTCAGGTAGCCCAGGACCTTGGGCATGGGTTTTTATTCATTCACTTTTTTTTATTACATAGCAGACATGGGGTTTTCTTCTTTGCTTTAGTATAAATAAAAGGTGATTTGCTGCTGTTAATGTATGTGACTACCCATAGATCAAATACTTATCCATGGCCTTCAGCATACTTCAGCACCGCACTACTTGAGATTAAGAATTACATAGTAGATGCTATGATCAGAGAAATTTCCAACTTCCAAGAAATTAAAACTGAATTAATTTTTTATCTCATCAAGATAGATAGAAATACCAGCTGCTTAGTCCACTTGCTACCTAATTATCTGTTACTCACACGCACACTCACAGGGACACAGACACCTATAGCAGCACATTTTGGTTTGCCTCTCTAACTTCCAAATTCACTTATGAACATGGAACACCTACTTGCAGCATGTAGCTAACTATGTCTGTAGAAGTATCTTGAAAATTTTATTCTTACAGGGTGTTCTTGTTCTTAATTTCTTCTCCATAAGCAAGAGGTGCATTAAACTCTGCCTTAAAATGAATATAAATTGGGTAAGATGTCCTAGGTCCCAAATTCATCTCACAAATTGCCAAAGGAGCACAGCAGAAGCAGCATCAGTAGATTTCAGGGCAGCTGCTTAGATTTCTGCAAATATATTTTTTTCCACGGATCTGCCTTAAGTAAGAGGTAGTGGTTTCTGTTTGTCACTTTTTATTTGAATGGTGGATCTTATGAGCCTTTTCTTTTTGCATTCGCATTTGAGGACATTTTAACCCTTACAAATGAATTGTTCATCTCAGCCTTTTGGAAGGGAGTCATGGAGGACTTATGCCGTTAGTGCAGAGTAACTTTTAGACCATTCACTCTTTAATGGACTATGAAGTAATAGATTATTTTGGTTCTGCTCAGTGGGGTCTCTAGCTTGGCCCAGTACTGCTCCCTTGGTGGCTGCCATGCCTTCACCCTGAAAACGCCTGGAAGCACATATCTTCTTCAATGACAAAGAAGGTCATTCAAAGCAGACATTTTGCTGCAAAAAGCTCCCTGTTTTGGGTGGTGGAAACACAGCCTCTTCACAATACCGTGCTCTCACCAGGGGGACCCTACCATTAGCAAGGGCCCACCAGGCAGCACAAAGGTCATGCTGGGCATGGAGAGGTGCAGCCTGATGCAAGTGTCCCTGGCAGGGGACAGCTGTGGCCACCACTACTGCCTGAGCTGACTGCGGGGAGGTGGCTCCTGGAGAGAAGACAGCAGGGAAGACAGCAAAAAAGAGACAGGTTGTGATTAATGTTTGGAGAAAAGGGACTATTTAAGCAACAGGCCAAGGCTGGCAGGGACCTCTGGAGACCATCCAGTCCAAGACCCCTTCTCAGAGCAGGGTCAGCCAGAGCAGGTTGCTCAGGACCAGATTCTGCACCTCTAGCTGTCAGTGGTGCAGAAGCAAGCCTGAAGTTTGTAGCCTTGAACCCCAAGGTTTGGCATGGCACAGCTTATGCCAAACTCATGCTAAGAGGTTCTGAGCTATGAGGGATGATGCTCTGCAAAGATAATGTCAACAAAGCTCTTTTCCTTTGTATTCCAACTAGTCACAGATTATTTTTTCTTCTCCAGATGTTATTTTGCATCATCCCTGCCATATGGAAGAAAGGAATGATGCTGTTCTGATCTGCTGCCATAAAAATATAAAATGTTGTTTGTGTGATCTTCAGAGTAGATTAGAACTAGGAATTTCCACTTTGGGGGGATTTTTGACATGTTGAAATTAATTTTTCTTTCAATCTAGACAAGCTACAGTGGTGTCAAGTTTTCCTACAAATTAAAAATCTTGTCAAAAACGGATTTGTAAAATATGTAAACATTTTATTAATCTTTATAAACAGTGCTTCAAAGCAAGATGTTCACTGATAACTTCCTTTTACTATTTTATATAACTTGATTTCTAAAAGTAAAATTTGATTTTTTGGCCATCTAGATTCTCAAAATATTCTGTGAGAAAGGACTCTCAGGGACAGTCAGCATCAGCATCACTGCTCCCTCTGAAGACATCAATGACTTCTGGGAACAGAACATGACAAAAACATGAGTGCTTTTAGCCAGCCCAGCGTTGAACCATGCCATTTAGCACAAGGAGTTAAAAACAAAATACTGTGAAGATGGGAGCTGTGCGTAAGCATCTCTCCAGTGATATGTGTCATCTATGATCAGTTATACCTTAGCTGCGAGGCATGATGATGGAGCAGCCAGTGCAGGTGTTACTATGGTAGGTGCTTGTTTTCCTAACATTATAAAATGATAAATGGATTGCCTTTACATGAGTTGGGTACTCCTGGTAATGGAAATAATACAGACAACACAAGTAAAACTGCTTCTAATTCTCACAGAGGGTTTAGGTATCACCACGTTACCTTCCCAGCACTGTTTTCTGAAGAGACGTGTTGGCCATGGTAGCAGTGAGCTAGTGCTCCCCAGGCAGGTTCTTCATTCCAGCTGATAAATCCTCTGGGAGCTGGGCTGGGAGTGCAGTTCTGTGCACTGGCACTTCAGTGGCTTGAAGAAGAGCTGGCCTGGGTGTAGGGTTCATGCTCCAACAAAGCCATGCTGGAGACAGCCTGGATCTCTCTGCTGCATGCCCCAGCCACTTTTTCGTGTCAGGAGGTGGTGCACTTGTGTCCCAGCCAGCTCTGTGTAGAGCTGATGGGTTTGGGCTTAGGCCTGCAGGGATACAGCCATCCTACTTCTTGCCTCATCCAGCTCTGGAAGGAGTACAGGCATGTCTGCGTGTGCTTCCCCTGAGCCAGGAATCCCGGATGGTTTGCGCCATCATCCTGATGGTACTGTTTGTCCCCCAAATAGATCAGCAGCCCAGACACTGGGATAGAAGCAGACTCAGGGAGACCAGCTGGCATCATTATACCTCTGTAAGAATTAGACAAGTTCGTTACTCTTACAAGGGCACTTAAGGTACAGGGGAGATTGGACTTTGCATCACTGAGTTTACATGCTGTGGCCTGGACTGTGCCAGTCCAGTCCTACATGGGGATGGCTTCTTATCCTGCAATGCTGAAAGGTGCAAAACAAAATATGAAATTATTTATTAGGGACCCAGTGCTGAAAACCAACACAGCAGAAAGAAAAACAACAAACAACATAGAACTGTATCCACATATATTTTGGAAAAGAGTTTGCAGTAGCACACAACCAGTTTCTGAGGCATTTGACGTACAAAGCGTACCTTATGGCCTTTCCTGGCATGAAATTCAGAGCATTTTCAAAGTTTTTTGGCAGTGCAGACAGCAAGTTATTGTTGACTAGATGAAGTGATGCCACAAGTGGGAAGTGATAGATGAGGAGACAATGACAGCTCTCGGGGCAGAGACAGATGCATCTCCGTTGCAGCGCAGGGACAGATGTATCTTGTTCGGTCCAAAATTACTTGTAAGTTGTTACTGTCCAGTGTCACTGCTCAGTGAAATAAAGCCAAACTGATTACTAATACAAAGTCTCAGTCCTTTTCCTGTAGCCTAAATCTGTGCATCATAGCTCCAGGTTAAATCATGTGTATTGGGAACGAACATAAAATATATACAGAGCTCAGAAGTGCAGATGATTGGGGAATCATATGTTAATGAGACAAAAATTGTATTTTTCCTCCCAAATGCAAAGGGACTATTTAAAGAGGAGAATTTTCCTTGGGGGAAAGACCATTTCTGAGGGTTTTTTTTCCATGTTTTTTCAGCATCATCCCAGCCCAGCCAAATAAATCAAGCTAGCAGGAACAGGGCAATATCACCCATAAGTGATGCAAGAGCTGCTGGGGAAGGGGGGAAGATGGTCAGGGACAAGTTGCTGGGGGAAATACCTGAGGCTTTGGCAGGGTATTGAGCTACCTCCTGAAGAAAACCAAGTAGGGTCCAACTGGAGTTGAAAGGTGCTGCATGAGGGGGAGGAGGAGACTGGTGAATTCTTTTTCTCAAAAATCATCCTGTGGTAAAAGAGGACCAATAACTATAAGGAGAACAGAAATATAAGAAGGGACAAGGGGAGAAAATGCTTAGTAAGGGACAGAAAATGCCAGGCCTTCTCATGGTCCATTGACCCCCTTGCCAAGCAGTTGTGTCCTGCAGCTGATGGATAATCCTGGACAGGGAATAGCCAGCCAGGGAATGCACTTCATGAGTGAGCTTTATACAAGGTAGTACTTCATCCGAAGGCCTTGGTGGAGGAAAGGGAGCAGAGATAATGTCCTGATGGGTAGTGGCAGGCATAGGTGTGATGTTCTTTCATCATGCTTGTTTTTTGTGTGGCAGCTGGGCTGAATACACTCATTTATATTGCACTGCACAGTGTGTGAGCGCTCAGCAAACAGGCAGATAGCCGAAAACAAGGTAATAATAAAGGCTGCAGATCAAGAGCACAGTGAACTAAACCTAATCACAAATAGACTTTAGTATTGCACTGCAGAACAGTAACTCCCGCACTAAAGAAGGGGTTTGAACGTGTGGGTTGCTGGCTTCATGTTTATAAACCATCCTAGAGGGTGCCTTGAGAACAGCACAGGGGCTCAGCAAGGGTAGAGTAGCACTGCAACACTACACTGCAGCTGAATTTAGGGGATGAGGTAACTGAATTGGGCTTGGGCAACCCAGCAGAAGTCCAAACCTGGACAGTTGTGCCAAGCAATACACCTGTATAGACAGATGTATCTTGAGCAAAGTACTCCACGGGGCTACCACAGCCTGGGCAGCCTTTACTGGTTGGATTTTCTGAAGAGAGTAGAAGAAAAACAAGCTAGCCAAGCAGGATAAGCAAGGAGGAAATATTTCAGACTCATCTGTAAAGAACCCAAACTGTAGCAAAGTGTCTGGAAACGTGCCTTCTGAGAGCAGCCTTGCACGTGAAATGCTATGCTATGACAGGGACTTAAAGAAAAAAAGATTGGTGACTTTGCAGGTGAATGACCAAAGAGCTGACATGACAAAATGAGCTCTTGGTTTGCCACAGAGGCATTTGTTAAGCTTTCAAGTGCTGAGCAACAGGAATATAAAAACACTTTCAGTTTGGTGGCAACAGGCAACTGAAGCAAGAGGGGTACTTGTCTGAATTAAAAATTGACTTTTGCTAGACTGGTGTTCCTGGCAGGTTACACCTGCTTCCCACCCTGTGCCTTGCTGCCACTCTGTCTGGAGCAACGTGCTCTTAACAATAGCTGGTGGCTGGAAGGTACAGTGTGTGCTGCACTGCTCATTTCCCCTTCCTCCCAACCTGATTGTTATTGCAGCAGTTGGGAGCAAGAAGGGCTCTTTAACACCATTAAGCTGTGAGAAACTGTGTCTGTGACAGTGAGCGTCTGACTTCACGTAATATGAAGAAAAATGTTTAAAGAGAGATGATTGCCTTCCTGTAAGTACTTTGTACTGTAAAGCACATGTATATACACAAACACCCGCATGCACGTGCATCCGGGAGGAGGTGTGTGTCCATGGGGGGAAATCCTGCCTACACCAGTCAATGACAAAAATTGCCACTGACCTTGGCAGGGCAGGGCTTCAGCAACTGCCTGTGCATGTGGTGGGATGTTGTGCAAGCGGTCAGACACTCACAAGCACATTTATTCACTGTAGGGCTGGGGGATGGCAGCTTGAGCAGTGCTAGCAAGGCACTGAAATACAGCTAGGGAGTGAGGGCTCCTCCTCAAGCCAAGCCGCACGTGCCAGCAGCAGTACGTTGCCATTTTGTTGTGGCTTTCTGCGTCACATCAGAGATGGAGCAGCTTTGCCTGTGACTCATGAGAGCGTTCCCAGGCAGTGACCTTGCCTACCTCAAGGGACTGGCAGAGGTCTTTGATCACTTACTTGGTTTTGGCTTGGGGACTTTGTTTGCTCCCTTGTTTGTTTGTCTTTTTACAATTTTTTGGATTAGTCTAAAAATTGGTGAACTGCCTTCATTTACTCTGCTCCCAAAATAGGTAGCATAGTTTTCAAGGGTCTGTTAGAAGGGCCAACAGGCCCTTGGATAACCCTAATCCTACATTCAGTGATTTCATCCAGTTTATTTTACTCTTGGCTCTGCCTTTGGTGAGGCAGAAGTTCAAGAAACTCACCTCTACAACTCACTTTAGTGGTTACTGTCCTGAAAACTATTTTAAGGTTGATTATAATGGTATTCTGGTGATTTTTTTTCAACTATTTTGGATTTGTGCAGCTCTAAGCATCTTTCAGTGGTAATATAGATGGAAGTTTAAGATCCTAGGGTAATGAATGTAAATCTTAGGTACCTTTTTGAGATTCATTAAAAGTAATTTAGGCGTCTAAGGTTTAAAGACCTGCTCTAGTACATTTAGCTGTAACGTGCCAAAACTTAAGTGGTTGTTTTCACATCAATCCCTGCATGCAGTGGGCCAGTCACCTGATCTTATTAACATAAAATATGTATTGTATTTATGGATTCCTCCTGTCATAACTATCATTTCATAATAGCTGGATTCTCATTTTTTTCTGTCCTCCTCTGGTGCTACAAGCATCACAAACCTGCATCACCACGTGTGACAGACCTGCCACCTTCATGCTGACGTCACACTTCCCAAGCAGGACTCCTCTATGGGGCACAGAATTAGGTGACTCCCAAAATGGGAGCTGTGATTCCTGTAGGAAAACACTATGTATCCATGCCTGGGACCAGATTTGAGGCAGTACGCCAAGTTCTTTTGAGAATTTGGCCCTAACTGTAATTACCATAGCTGATGGCTGCCTGCTTCTGAAATCTGAAAATCTGCTGCAATGTTATGGGTGCTGAACATTCAGAAAATCTGGTGATAAAGACCATCAGTCAGTGGAGTGCCGCCTCAGTTTGAGGTTGATGTGAAGGACAGCAGAACAGGGTCCAGAGCTGATAGTAACAGAAAGCAGAAATACATTCAGAGTATTAGACAGTGTCTGTTCAAGATTCCAAATACCTGGTGAAACCAAACTAAACCAGGAGTATTACGAATAAAAGTCAAACATACCTATTTCTACCTAACAAGTTAAAAATGCTAAATCACTTCCAGAGCAAACAGTCTGAATTACCTTTGCAAAAGGCTAGCATATCCTCAGCTCCTGCGGAAGAGCTCTGAACTAAGATCCTGAATCCAGAGCCTTACAGTTGCTCTGGGCAAATGCATCCCCACTTCCGTGCAGAGCTGTGGCCCACTGGCCATGCTCTGTGTTTCACTGGAAAATCTGGTAATAATGGAAGCTGCTGAAGAAGAAAAACTGCTGAACTGTTTTGGTGCTCTGAGGTCTGGATGGGTGAAATTCATGTCAATCTAATGAATTTTTATTTTTCATTAATTTTAAATATGTGTACAAACTACTTTCAGAATATCATTATCATCTGTAATTCTTTTTTTTTTCCAGTGAATCTTTACACTGACTATTTACATATTTTTACACTCTCCCTTTGGCACATTCTGTATATGGAAGCCTGTACAGGATAACACATAAAGGATTGTGGTAACCACTCTGTAAAGGTGTAAAATGCAGCCATTGCCACAGTACCTACAAACCAGATTCTATCAAATTTACCTTCAAACAGGGATGTCAGCTGCCCCTGAATGTATCTGCCTGACCCCCACATGTGTTAGCAACATGCTGCAATGACATATATGTGTTTCCACGTGGCCTATCCCCGCACTGACGGCCCAGGTTTCTTTGTTCAGAATCACATTATGCATGTGTTTGTTATTCATGTTTCTGCTTCCCCAACTTTCCTTTGATGTAAAATTAATACAACTTTTTTTATCATTATTTGAAACAGAAACTCTGGGACAAAAGAAGCATCAAAGATAGGATACACTGAATAACATTAGTCAATGTTTTATACTTTTTTTCTGCAAGTCTAAGCCATAATAAAAATACTTAATTTTCAGAAGGAAAATAAAAGTCTCAACTTTTATTCAGCAGCTACAGACTTAGAGTTAGGGTCAGGCTGGGATGTTACGACACCAAGCTGTCCAAAGTCTGCTGCAGAGGGTTTGTGTCACAGGAAGCAGGAGCAGATTCAGACTGGCTTCAACTCTGCTAGAGACATTGAAGTGTCATTAGCTTCTAAGTAAGGACCCTGCAAGTCCTATACAGTTTTGGAAAATGAATGGAAGGACGCTTATGTGAAGGCTGGGAAAGATGCTTAATCTTAAGCTTTACATTCCTCTTCAAATGTTTCTGAGTGACACCTTCACCTGTTATTAGCTTGTACAGTGTATGAAGATAACACCACTCTGTGCTTAACCTTTAAACCAAATTTCTGTGATTATTGGCCCTCGTTCCCAAAGTGACTGTGAGAAATGAACAGGGCAGATGGGAGCAGGCTTTCCCAGTGGATGCTACACAACATTTCTGTAATGATTTAAAGCTATGTTAAACAATAGCTTGTTCACATTCAAATGCAGAATATCCTAAGATGCATCATGAGGCAGGGGAGAGAACTGAAATTGCTTTTGTGGAGATGCTAGGCATAATTAAAGGCTTATGTCTGAATCTTACAGCTAACAAACTGCTGTACAACAAGGGAAACAGCTCCCTAAGTAGCTTTTTACAAAACACTAAATATACTATCATAACAATAAAACCTAACTATCCAGCTGCTGGTGAATTATGTGCATGTGGTACTGTGGACATCATGTCCCCTCTCTCCCCTTTTAGCTGCTGGAAAATAGCAAAGGTCCTCCAAGGAGCAGCTGAAAAATTTAATAAAAATAAGTCAGAGCTGCTTAATCTGCTTTTGCAATCTGGCTGCACTTTTTCTGAAAATCATGATTGTTCCTTTGGCAAAGTTCAGGGTGAAGTGAGAGCTGTTAGTATGGCCCCAAAGGGGGGGGGGGGGAACCTTTTGCTGTCTCCCCTTTTGACATAACAAAGGCAAATGTGTGAAGGTATTAGAGCCCCACTGCAGAGCAGGAAGAGGAAAACAAATGGCACCACACCATATGCCCATAATCCCAATTAAAAATGCATTCAAATTCATTTCTCTTCTCCTCAGCTTCCCTTTTCCACACCAGTGAACAAGTATGTTTGACAACAGAGTGTGGGAATTTCTAGTTCACTGAGCAGGTTTCTTTTCTTTTTGCCCCTGCATCTACCTGAGGCTGCTGCTCCAAACCCTCGCTGTGCACTCCAAAGCAAGCCCTGTCTCCCCTCACCATGCAGCCACGTGTTGTGCACCATGCCACGGACTCCAGGAGAAAGCAAACTGGGAAGCAGCAGACGCAGCATGAGGCAAAGCGTTCTCAGTGGCAGTGCTGGGCTTTGCAGGAAACCCTTGATGATGCTGTGCTTAGCTCGCCACCTTTCCCAGGCATGGAGCTTCCTGTGCTTGAGGAATACACATGGCGAAGCATCTAGCAGGTGAGTGGGACCTCCTGCCTTCAACAGGCATGAAGCAGCAGGCACGGCAGCCAAGGGGATACCTACTCAGTGCCACTGACAAGGGGGCAGGAGAAGAATGTGGCAGGGTACTTAGGAGGCTGGAAAACGCCTTGGAGTCAGCGGGGTCATGAACACTTCAGAGGAAGGCATGTTCATTAGGGGCTGAATGGATCGAGGGAGGGAAAGGATATTAGTGTGGCAAATCAATCTGTAAGCATCAAATTGATTTTCAAAAATGCAAAAGGATGCACTCACCATTATAAAATCGAATAGGAAGAGCAACAAAAAAACATGGTCTATGGTTCATAAAACCATGGTTAGATAGATAGCAGAACCCTTTTCTCAGGCAGCATAGAAGGCAACCTCATCTGCAGCTTTTCATATTTTTACTTTTCAGAGTTCTAATGCAAAACTAATTACTTCCCTCCAAAGGCCCTTCCCTCTCCTCTTCATCGTCCTACTGACATAAAAGCTATTAACTGGACCTATAATCACAGCACTGCTTTTACGTCTCTTGCTTCAAACTCTGTTGCTTTCTCCCTTGTAGCATCTCTCAGATCTCAACCAAGAATTCAAAACACTTGCTTATAACTTTGCGGTCTGTAGGTTTTGGGGTTTACATCCCCCTCCTTGCCAGCCTTTTCACATCTCCATCCCACTGCTTCCTACACAGAGTACAGCTGCCAGGTTCATGATACAGAGATAAAATTCAGTTCTCGAGAGCTACCTTAGTAAAATGTTCTTAACATACAGCTCCAAATAGCTTTCTCTGTATGCAATTTCTTTATGCTTTCAGGTTCACCACATTGACCTTTGCCCCTTCAGCAGGTGGAGCGATACCAACAGCAGTAGCAGGTGGTTAACCTCTGTGCTCACTCATGCCACAGGGAAGGTGCACAGTTGGGGAAGATACCAAATGAGTGGCTCCAAACATGTTTAGTCCAGCAAGAGGCTGCTCTACGAACCGCTAGGAAACAAGGTCTAATGGACCAGGGTAATTTCTTCCTGTTGCACCAAGCTTGACTCCTCCCAACACTACGAATCTCCTTGTCCTGTTTCAAACTCCTCGGTGTCTCACACCGTCTCCCTCCACTCTGAGGTTCTCAGTGGTCCCACTGTATCCGCATTTCATCTGGCCTGGGTCATTCTCTGTGATAGCTTTCAGTGAGCTGCCTGCTGGTGTCCTCAGAAGAAATGTCTCTTACACCAGTTCACTCCCATCAGCTGTCTGTATGCTTTCTGATGTCAGAAGGTCTCCAGGAAAGATCCAAAGGTGGGGTCACATATATTGTTCTTCAAAAAGGCTGAAAATGTCTAGAAATTTCATCCTGAAAAGGATACCTAGCATGGAAAATTTAATTCAAATGTTAGGAAATTTGTGGGAATAGCCTCTTACAAAAAGAAATGCAGGAAATGAGGGCTATTTGTGGCACTCCTAGTGTGTGGTTGAAATAATTATAGGAGCTTTTGCCCACTGCTTTCCTAACTGGGAGTAAGGGATCCCAAATGAGCTAAGTGTCAAGCCATACTAGTGCTGTATGAACTGTAATCCTTCAAATTGTCTTGCAGACAATGTACTGATTCAAACTCGATCCCATAGCTGCTGCAACGTCATTATTATTATAACTTGTTATCCCACGACAGAAATGAGCTTGGTAATTTACACACAACTTTGAAAATGTGCCTGCACTTCTGACTGTGTTACCCATCATGACTTCTTAACAGCCACTTGGACGGGCATCTACCAAACAGCATCAGGCCAATCAAAAGAAACAAGTGAAAATGAGGCAGATTCCTCCAGCATATGCTGAGGTTATGCCTGTGGTCATTTTTTTCTGTGTGACAGTGGAAGCCACGGTGTTTCTGCAGTGTGAGGTAATCCACCAGAGAAATCTGCAAGAAGGCACAACATTTTGAGGCTTCCTCAAACTATTCAGGGTTTGGCAGACCCATTAATACCAAATTGATGCTTTTGGGAAACTCCACCCATGAGTGATCCAGAAAACTTCCTGATATGCTCAACAAGACTTCAGCCAAGTGCACTAATTGTAGGCTGCAGAATACTTGTTCAGAGGAAAAGGACTGGAGAGAAGAGAGGGTGAAAACACAGAGAGGAAGTGATAAGCCAAGAACTGATGGGCTGCAGTAGGGTGGACAGTGTAGGCAGAACAAAGTATTAGTGCAGAAGGAGGCAGAGTCTGTGGGTATGTTTGGGGAGACTGTTCGACCTAATTGTCAGAGGCTGTACTTAAGCAGAATGGGGTTCATGTTTGCCTTCTCCCTGTATCTCTCTCTGCCTCCATTCAGCTTCTGCTGGTGTTGCCTCTTCCACACACCCCTAAAACTTAAAGCCTCTTCTCCTTGGAGGTTTTGGGGTCTGGCAGGGCTTACAGCATCCCCTAGAAAATGACACTGGGGCACATCTTTCTTTTCCCATTCTTTCTATAGCTCTTGACCATGCTGTGACAGCAGTACAGTTTGATTCTGTTGGCTGCACTAGCCTCTTGAACAATCCACTTTTGGATGTAATGGGTTTCCTGATTGAGAAAATATCATTAAAACTGTGAGGTCTGGAAAACATGAGATACTCTAATGCTTAAAGAGAGTATTAAAATGATGCTTACACCTGGATTCTGTTGTTTGGTAACACCAAGACCAAATCAATCCAGAGTTTAAATCACCAGATCTTCTCAGTGTTGGCCAAATGCGTTTTCTCAGTCAGATGCTTTTCAAAGCCAAGCTAACCCAAGTACACAGATGCAATTAACATCCTGATGAAACTCATGGGCTGAAGGGAAAAAAAAATATAGGAGGTTGTTAGAGGTTGAGAGTCTAGATTACAAAGGCAGATAAAGTTGACTGCTTACATCATGAGCCCAGAGGTGAAAGAGAAGTTATGTGCCTTTCCCAGCTTGCTTCAGCTATTGAGCTTCCAGGATCCTGGGCACATGCCTGCGCATGGTCCTGCCTTCAGATAACCCCACATTAAAGAGAAAAAAAATGAAATAACTGGCACCCCCGAGGCTGGCTCCAAGGAAAATGGAGCAGATAAAACCACGGAGCAGCAGCCAAAGCACAAACATCCAGGCACTGAGGTGGTGCTCTGGAGTATATCTGTGCCTAAGGTCCCAAGAAACCACCTCATAACCAAAATTCCAGCAGCCACGAGTGCTCAGAAGACACCAGAAAGGTTGATGCAGCCTCCGTACCAGAGACTGGCCTGGGAGAAGTGAGTGAAGGAGACAGCGCTGAAGGGCACAGCTAGTACAGGGAAACCACAGTGCAATTAAGCATTTTAGAAAATACAGAGAAGGAGAGAATATTGGCATTGGGAGGTCTCCTGAAAATGTTTAGAAATTAAGCTCCATGTGGTACAAAAAATATTTCACTTCTAGGGCAGTTTAACCTGAGCAGCTTCTCTGGAAGCGAGGAAAGCTGCTCTGGGTCTCCCACATAGCAAACCAAGGGACTGGGCTGTACGAGGTCCTTACTATCAAAATTCTGAACAATCAGAAAAAGCCAGGCAGAGCCAATGTGTATTTCTCCCAGGGCTTTTTCCCTCTAATTAAAAAAAAAAAAAAAAAAAAAAGGTTCAGTCGAGAGCCATCCTGGAGCTGCGGAGCCTGGAGAGCTGCCAGGCAAGCTGGCAGGAAATCAGGAAGGCTTGTGATGGAAACCTGCCTGTGTTTCATCGGAAGTTCATCCAAACAGAGATGCTTCTGCAAAACATTTTGCTTACGACAAATCAGAATTCTCTGACAAAAACCTGTGCTGTTGGAAACCTCCCAGCCAGTGTTTCTTATGGCATAATCGTTCCTTAAATAATAATTAAAAAAAAAGAAGAAAAACTGGGTGTGCCACAGCTAACATTAATGGGCTACATTATATATAGTTTTGTAAGTGATTCCTTATATGGGGAAAATCTTAAAAATGAGACCTTGGGCATTTCAGTCTGGTTTTTCACAATGAGTGCTGAAGGCTCAGCTTTGTTACCGTACAATGTACACAGATGTAAAAATAATGGTAGGATGCTGGGTGAGGACAGAATGCTTTTATTGTATCCATCATTTTTTCATTATGAATTGCATTTTTCAGATATTGCAGATTGTTAGTTTTGCATTCTTCCCTGTTCCTCCCAAATCCATTAGACAGAAAAATATGGATAATTTCCTCCCAAAACTCAGATTATGTAACAAGGGCATAACTCTCTCACTTTGAAATTACTAACTTGAGCATTTTGACAAAAGACAGAAATGTGGAAAACACATACACAACTTGGAATAGCTGAATAGCTGAGAGCATTTTTCTTTATAAAAGAAAAAAAGGCAAAACGAGGGATATTTCCTCTTTCATATTTTTGAATGACACTGGAAACCTCTCTTACTCTAGCATCTCTTCCAAAGGAGTACCGAAGAGATTGCAGGATAAATCCTGCATACAAATTGAGGACCTAGTCCTGCATACTCTTCATTTACCTGAGCGCCAGAGCCAGAAGTGGGAGGCTCTAATTCAGATACCTGTGAAATAAATAGAAAAGTATGTATTTAAATATAAAAGATCAAGTTATAATGGCTATATTTGTTTTCCATGTAGCTTTGAAAGAAAACAGCCATCAGCTGCTATTCAAATTTTCTTTCTTTGCCCCCCAGTTATGTGAATACAGTGCACAAGATTAAGGTATTTTCAGCATGTAACTTCAATCATGTGAGAAGACCCACTGACTTCAGCCAGCGACTTCCTATTGAGTCAGCAAAGTACTTATGCCTGCGTGTGATTTTTATGACTAATCTCCCTGGCTGCGTCTGCCCTGGTGGGTAGGTACACTGGGCAGGATGTCCTGCTGCCCCGGCCCCCAGCATACACCCTAGCTGCATCCTGGCTCTGGGCTGGGACGAGATCAGCATGACCACAAGCTCCCACATGCTGTGCTTTCATTTGGAAAGAAATGCCTGTGCCCAGAGCCGCAAGAAGTGCAGTGTACTTTGTGATAGTCTGCAGCCGGGGTGACTGAGGGGATGACTGGAGGGGCATCTACTCTGCTGCATGGCCAAAAGCCCAGCTTCGTGCTTAGTGTTACCCACATACTGAAACTCTCTGGTAACTTGGAGTGGTACTATATCAGCCCTGGCTCGAACGAGGCTGTCACAACCTCTCTAATGAACCTCTCACAGTCTTTCAATAACACAGCTATTTATAGGCTAGGTCTATACTGAATAGATTGCAGAAGCTGCACAAAAGCTCACAGTGTTTCGGCAATGAAGCTGTAGACAGACATCAGCACAGATTGAAACCACTCGGTACAGTTACATACAATTAAATTTTATAATCTACTGTCCTTTGCCTGATTACGTTCACTGCTTAACTGAAAAGTTAATGGTATCTTATTACATTTATAAAATTGTCTTAGAAATGAAAGCTGGTCCTGTGAAGTAAAAGAATTTTCAAGTCTTACCGACCAAGAGTTAAGTCCTGCTTTTGCTCGCAACATCAATTTTTAGGTGTAGCATCACTTAAGAGAATACCCCCAGTAATCAGTGCAGAACTTGGACATAGTCAGAAACCATCACCAACCATCTTATGTCTCTCTTTCAAGATGTTTTTAGGCTCTAGCAAACATCCTGAGTCTTGTGCTCCCAGCATGCATCATAGGGTGAAAATATTAACAAAAAGAATGATTAAAAAATCTTCAACAAGTGCTCTTTTGAGGAGGAATTGCTCCTGGGAGCATACTGCCCTCATCATCATCACCCAAGTGAATTGCATCTTATGTTTCCTCTTGAGATGTGCAAGATGAAAGTAACATGAAGCAGCAGGACCCTTTGCACATGGCTCACCTGAATCTTTCTTAGAAGAAACCAGATAAAGGATTTTACTTGCTTTGACCTTTCCAGACTTCTGTCTCTATGACACTTGTTCATAAAGTCCCAATGAACAGCAGACTACTGCAAACATGCTTTGCTTATGAATCTTATAAATCTTCTCCTAAGTCTTCTTATGAATCTTATAAATCTCCTGAATGAGAGAATTGACATTCGATACAGGTGTTGGACTAAGCGCTGTAAGCCTCTGGCTTCCACCATTGTGGCCAGGAAAGGCTTCAGTAACGCCCTCTAGCACAGAATTCCTTCTACTTTCTCTTTGTCCTAAGATTTTATCTTTCTAAAAGGAGCGGGGACTTCCTCGGGGAATTAGGACAAGGAAAAAAATTGAGACAGAGGTACTATTTCATTACAATACAAAGCACAAAACCGATGAAAAAGATATCTAATGGTTGTCTTCTGGCAAATGCTTTCTCTTTAGCAGCTCTGAAGAGAAGTTGGGTCCTTCTGTTTTACCCAGGTCTGTAAGGGCACATAAGCCATAAAGGGGCTTAAAAATCTAACTACTACTCTGAGTTGCAGAATCCTACATTTAGATGGCATTGAGACCCTCAGCATTTCTTCTTAGCCCACTCCTGCCTCCTCAAGTGTGCTGAGCCCTCTGGTGCCCAGATCTCTACTATAGGCATGGGAAAAATCATGCGACCCCAGTTGCCAGCAGACTCAGTAGCCCCATTAATGCCAAAGCTTCAGGGGGATTCCTGAACTAGATATTACTGCACCAGTCTAGACTGTTGCTGCTTCCCAGACAGCCAAATTTGCATCCAGCCCTCCTTAGGTGAGAGAGTGACTTCTGAAAGGTTAGGTTAAGCACATGGATCCAAAGCAAAGTCCCTGCTCCACTGGACTCCTATAAGTAGCCTAGAAATTCCCAGAGATCCTTGGAAACAAACACATAAACTATCAAGGAGCATCTTATCTGATTCTGACACACACAGATGGCTTTTTTCCACTTGTTTTATTAATTTTTGCTTCTGAAGACAGGGAAAATGAAGTGGGACAAGGTAAAGATCTTAAGTTGGTTGCGTAGCTTGGTGGCAGGAAACATGTGAGTGAAAATAAGCTTTAAGTTGCATTTACAAATACACTGGCGGTACCATGCCTAGAACAGCCGACTCTTACAAAAGAAGTATTTTGGAAGGGATGAAACATTTTGTCTCATGCAAAGTTCCTTAGCGCTCACCAGTAAAGTTCTTCAATAGCAATAAATAATCAAAGACCTTATTTCCATATAATTAAGACATTTAAGTGGAGGTACAATACTAAGTTATAAATATGTTTTGTAACAGGTAATAAATGCAGCTTATTGCTCACTGACTAGTTTAGAAACTCACTTTCTTCTGCTGGATTTAAAATTTCTGGTGAAATTGGTGAGGAGTATACTCAGCACATCCTGTTAGCTGAGTCAATTGAAACTGCACCTGTTCTTGGATGCAAGTCATAACAAATGCAACCCATATACATTGTAAAGAAAAAGACTTGTATGCACTTTTTCCAATTAACATCTGCCTTTTGGCAAGTCATTAACCTATTTTCTCACAAAGAAACAGCTTCAATTGTATTACGCATCTGAAGCGTGCAGAAGTCCCTGAGGGGGCACTCTGACAAAAACATACTGTTCCTGGATCCACTGTGAACATACATATTTATTAATTGTTTGGGGCAAAGAGTACAGAATTTCTGATTTTTACAAGTCTTACAAGGTAAACAGGTTACATAAAGCTATGTCCCAGGAAATACATTCACATCCCAGCTACCGTCACTCAGAAAAATCAAGAGTGGTTTTGTGTTGTGATATAGCAATGAAAATAATTCAGCAATATTTTAATAAGAATTTTAGGAAGAAAAAAACCTGTTTTCCCTAAAAATAATATAGCATTTTTGTTTATTTAATAATTAAATATAAATACATAATTTAATTAAATAGAAATAAAGCTGGGAAGTCGTATTTCTCAAATCACTTATGCTACAGGGATCTTAAAATGTTGAGAACCTATTCTACCACAATTTCCCCAGACAGAAGATTAATCAAAATTTAAAAATACAGTTTAACCATAATGATAATGAAACAATGAATTATTATCTTACACGTGTAAAAGCAAGAAGCAACAGTCTCCCAAAGACGAGGGAGTTATTCAGATACATTTGCCTCCAGGAACTGGTTTTCCAAAACACTGAGTTTATAAAAAAATATATCAGCAGTAGTAAAAAGTAAATACCAAAGATTTTTGGAGAATGGAGTGGTGTGTTTAAAAAAAAAAAACCCAACCAAAACCGAAAAAATGAAACAACCTCCAAAAAGTAAAAAAGGAAAACCCAGAATACAGTTCGACTTGTGAGGCTGGGCCATAAAGCACAATGGATTATTGGCATAAACTCGTGTCTCGATCTGATTTTGCAGTGGTATTTGAAAACCTTGGTGTTCAGATCAAAAGAAAAAGTGAAATGCCTTAAGGTCCAACACTGCAACATTTAGCCATTTGGTGTCTGCCTCCAAAGTAATAATTAGGAACCTCTAAACATGCTCCCAAAGGAATCGGATATTGCCATCCAAATGAAAAACTGAAAAAAAACCACTTTATTGCCTCAACAACATGCTTTATGTGATGCCCAGGATAAAAATTCCACTAAACTTTGATAGGAATTACAAATAAAATTTAAGGCGCAGTAGTAACTGACGGTATTCTTTCAATTTGGAAGAGCATTTTTGTTTCAAAACGTCTGCAGAAGCGCGTACAATGAGTTGCTGCGCTACTGTGTAACGCTTTGACACTTCAGGAATTTGAAGTTGGGTTCCTCCAGAGTGTCTCCCAGTGATGCTGGCAGGAGAGGTTATTCCTGCTGCCACCTTCTTTCTCTCCCCCACAAACCTTGGGGATCTACTGCATGTCATTCCAACACTGGTGTTATTTTTTTTAATAAGTAATTGAACCATTTTTGCAGTAGCTAGCCTGGATGCTGGAAGCAGTCTTTCTCCAACAGGATAGACTATTTACGTTTACTATCGGAGGGATAACTTATCTTGAAAAAAGCTGAACTGCCTCAGATACATGGTTCAGCTTGTTTAGGACAAATGCATTTTTAGTACTTCACCGCAGTCTGCAATACAGATATACTTTTCATAATCATTTAAAGACCAGTGCAATTATTTTTTCACATAGTGCAGAAGCACAACTAAGGCTAAATAGCAGCCATTCTCCTCTAGCTCTATAAGATAATTCAAATTAGTCAAGTCACCAGTTATTTGCCAGAGCACAAACCCTAGAGTAAATGCTTCTGAGAGTTTAACTGGCCTCTTCTGGTGCTTTTAAAGGAAGTTCTTCTATTTCATAGCTTTATTTGAAATTATATGGATCAAGGGAATGAGATACCTAGCCCACATCAATGTTCCTTTAAAAGAAACATCACATTAGCTGGCTGTGGTTGTGTTTTACAAGAGCTATCACAGCTTGAGGAAAATATCTCCATCTTGTTCTCAACCAACCATCTCTAGTTATACACACATGCCAAGTGACATGTATGTTGAGTTTCAGTATCAAAAGACCACTCAACAGAATGACAAGAACGTATCTTAATTTGGAAATGTTATGTTAGTTCACCAGATTCATGAACAGCAGAGGAATAAACTGGATTAAGTAGTAAATTCTCCAGGTAATAGGTACTGAAAATAAAGAAGGAATAGTTGATAGTACCTAAGGCAGAAAGGAAAATTTCAGCAGATTTTATTAAAAAAAATACAGAAGTAAAAGAAATTTCCAAATCTTCTTGATAAATAATCCTGAAAATCTTAATTAAAAAACCCCCTACAGATTTAAAACATATATATGTGTGTAGTTCACTCAGAGAAAACAAAAAGTGAAGGATTTTAATAGCTACATGGTTTTGTGTCTTCTAATGAAGCCAAGAAAAGGCAAAGACTACAACAGTATTGTTGCAATAAATGCATAAAGCAAAGTACATCTGACCTAAAAGACAGTATTTACATAACTATGTGTTATATAGCATTATAAACAATTGCATAATCAAAGGTCAGGCTGTTTACACTGGAATATGTAAGACCATCTTTTCACAAAAAAATCTGTGGCTAGGATTTTGCATAGAATTAGTTGTATCTAAAATTTTTATAAGAGACTGCTGCTTCACTATGAACAGGACTACTTAAGACTGAGCTGAAAATATGTAGTACTTGCTGGTGAAATTCAGAGTTTACCAAGAAGGTTAGGTGATGTCTGGCTATTTGAAGGTGATTACTATGAGAGAAAATGAAAAGTTATAAAAGAAAAATTGACTGTTCATTGCTTTGGCTCAAACCGCAAGAGTATTTGCATGCTGAGCTTCTGTACTTAAGCTGAACTCTATTGGTGTTAATGAGGTTTAGCCTGGGAAATGGGCTTTATCTATATCTATATTTATCTATACAGTCAGTTACAGAATTGGATTAAAATGCTCCCCCCATTTCAAGTTTCCTATTTTTCAACATACTAAATGTGAAGCTGCAGAAATGGATGACTATCTAGTTTTGATTGTGGATTTACAACTGTTCTGCAATTCCTATTTAAAAAAAATAACAGGTAGACATAAAGAAGCATAGACGTTTTCTATTAAAAAACAAGACCTACAATTGTCTTTCTAAAGATTGCATTTTTATTAAAAATAAAACCAAAATCATCATACATTGCAAAGTCTTTCCCGATTTATGGCTGCATTCATAACGCATTAAGTGATGGGGAACATTCATAGCATAAAAAGCTTGAGCACCTGTGGAATTCCTTGGAGGATGAGAATCTTTTGTATCTATGATATAGATTTAGCATCATTGTGTGTTTGGTTCAAATATATTCTTCAGAAGTATGAAGCCGAGTTTTATTTGTCTAAATATGAGAAACGAATTTTGATGAGGATGAGGTAAGCAGAAGTACTCAGCTGTATCAGTCTTGCAGCTGAATTCACACAGATGTAATTACAGTTTCAAAGTTTAAGTGACTTCATTTTCATATTTGTAACTAGAAGTTTTTACATTACATCTTCTTGCAACCATCACTAAAATGTTTAGAAGACATAGAGTAAGTGTTGCCACTTTTTGGTAAAATATTTGAGAGTATGCAAGGGACAAAGAAAACCTCTGGCATTTTTGGAGTTAGGGCTAATTAGGTCTTATTTAATTTAGGCGCTTGAGTACTGATGTCATAGCACAAAGAGCGTTATTTTCACAATCCTTACCCAAGTTAAAAACACTGCATAGTGTACTTCCGTATTACTTGCTATTCATCTAAAAATACGTTGTTTGTTGCTTAGTCATGTTTAAAAACCTTATTAGGATGAAATAAGAGTCCTGCAATGTTCAATAGGAATCAATAGGAATGATTTTAGAAAATATTATTTTCATCTGGGCTACACTTTATTAAATATATAACTAGAATATCTGCTTGCTACCAATGTTTAAAATGTGTTGTATATTTTTTTTCTTCAGTTTTTATTACATTGACTCATAAGAAAAGGAAGATTTTTTTTTTTTTTTGCTTATAGGAAAATCCAGTGAAGTAACATTATTTTCTTGGGAATATATGAAAAATATTCAGCAATACAGTTCATTTTAATCTTTTATTCTTCCTGTCTTCCCTGATGTAACATTTTTCTCTGATTTTCTAAACATTCTTTCAATTTATCTTCAGTCAAAGTCAGACGTTGTTCCAGGATTGAAATAGTCTGAATGAAGAGGACAGCAATTTCAATTTGGTTTTATATTACTTATACAGTATTATAAAAGTATGCAATGTAGCTATATAAGAAAAATAGTTTTAACACAACAGGAAAAAAATCTTAAGATGGCATTTCCTTAGTTACTCCACTATTTACAACTGTATTTAAAAATAATGGCTTTGTATCTATGGAGATTGTTTAAAGGTTTAAAATTGTTTTCACAAAATATTTTTGCTGACAGAAAAAAAAAAATCTGTATCTGCATATATAAATTACTCTGAAATCCTATGCAAAAGTTGCATCTATATTTCAATAGAAAACCAGCCATCACTGGTGACCCAAATTATGCCTTCCAGAAACCTAGAAGAAACTTCTGGCATCCCCCATCAAAGTGAGAAAAATATACTATTAAAAGGCACTCTTCAAGAGATTACCTTCATCAGAAAAGGTAGGTTTCTGGACACAGGCTGGCAGGTTTTTTTTAATCCAATTTAGTACACAGATCATTTTCAACTGATGACTTGATAACTCAAGAAATATGTTTTGAGAAGTAACATATATATTGCAAAAGAATGCAGAAAAAAACCCCTTAGCCACTTCCTTTTGATTTGATGTTAATATATTACAGACTACAGAGTAGCATCTGAAAACATAGATTGGCTAAATCTGGATTACCAAACAGAAGTGTTGAGCATTTACAAACAAGTGACTCAGAGTCACTAACTGAGACTAACTAGTATTTGTGCAGTTTCACTGACACTAGGAATTATTCCAGTTTAGATTCCTACCTAAGACAACACCTTAAACACTATATTTGAAAAGGGATTTATTGATACATTGCCAATTTACTTTGTTCATCCCCTGCTAATGACTGTTCAAGATGGAATCTGACAATATCTACTCAATAAGTAGCTTCTGGCAAATCTACGCTGGATCTCACTACTGAAAAATAGTAACTCTTTTCCTCCAGAGTTAAAAATACAACAATAATCTTTGATTATTTAGCAGGAAGCTTTCACTGTAGCCAACACAAGACATGCGATCAATATTTGCTGAAAGGAAAAAAATCAAAACAGTCACTTGACTATACAACTACTCAAAATAACCCCATAGACTTTAATATTCTGATTTCTGAACATGGTTCCTAGTGGGGTTTTTTTGCTTATTGATAGCATTATTATTTTCCACTGCACTGTTATTGCATACTTACTAGAGTTAAAACATCCAGCTGCTCCACAATGTGCTCCAAAGCATTACCCAGGGAGGGAGAGATGCCTGTTTGCTTTTTCACATTATGCACAGCTGATCCGCTCTCATTCTCTGACTTCCTTTTTGAACTTGTTGCCAAGATTGAAGCAGGGGGATACTGCAGATCTTCACTGCTGACATCATCCTTGAATACAGAAACATCATTTGGAGATTCAGTTGCCTTTGTCCTCATTTAATTGAAACCACACAAGAAGATAGGGAGAAAAGTCTGGCTTTTAATTTTTTTTTAAAATCTATTTACACATACAGGCACACACACAAGGGCCTTCAGATTTGCTTCCTGTAGCAGGTCCAATTCATAATGCTTCAATCAGTTCTGACCTAAGAAAGAATCTCAGCTGTGATGGATGAGGCAATAAGAGAAATCTCAGCAGTGTTCATGTACATGTTTCAGGTACATACGATTGAGGAACTACATGCTGTACTACTACAGCTTGAATTAAAGTTCAAATAAATACTATTGCTGACAAGTTTTTCTTCAAAAAGATAGCTCTAGTTCACAAAGGAATTAATTCACAGCAATCATATGGATGAAAAATCCCTGTGTGACTAGATGATCACAAAAGTTCCTTCCAACTTCATAGACATGAAACCTTTGTTTAGTATAAATGAACATCATCTTTCAGAATAATAATAATAATTTAAAAAAGTAGTTTTTAGTCGTTTATTCAGTGGCATTACTTTTTGAGAAACTGATTCCTTTAGAAAATGGGAGGAGGGAACAACAGAAAAGACTCACACAATGCAAAGTTAAGAGAAATAGCTTTGATGTATAAATATTGCTCCAGAGTAAGTGAGAGAGCATGATCTTTTCAGTCACGCCTGGTTTTGTTTGTGCCTTGGCGTTCTTAATGGCACTTCTGAGTCACAAAAGGTTAAATCATCACTAATTCATTAGAAGGTCCTTCGTAACAACTTTACCTGATTTATTAATAGCTTTTTGAGATTTCTTTGAAAACTACTTACACTTTCAGATAATTTTAGTTTATTTTTACATTAAAATAAACTGAGGTAGTCAAGTTTTATTATCTCTAATTATATTTCCAATATCCACAACATTTACAAAATGAAACTTCTACATGGTTACAATTTAACTGTTTCTCTGAAATTTATCCACAGCTGATGAAAATAGCCATTAGCTATGCAAAGGAGAAATTTTAGTCTTACCTGATGTACTTAAAATACATGATATTTAGAGTGTACCCAAAATATATTTATGCTGTGAGCTGAACAGATATTCAAGAGTCTTAAAATCATTGTCAGCCATTAAAAAAAAAATAAATCTAAGTCTACAAAATAATCTTGTAGAATGCAAATTACCAGGCAGAATTAGTGGCAAACCTTCACAGTATTACCTAGGCAAGTTGATGAGTTTCTGTCAAGAATGATTTGTGAGTAGTTGACCCTGCCTTTGAAGGATCAGAGTGTGATGGATGAAATACTACTACTATGATAATGTCATGATTTTAAATATAAGTAATACTAAATATCATATCAATATTATGAGGAACTTATACTGCTGCATTATCTGCAGTACTGTTCCTGTGTCTTCAGTGCCGTCATGCACATTCCTGACCAACTAACATGCTCTGTTCTATGGACTCACTGTTGCCAGTTCTCAAAAATCTTTTCTTCCCTGAGTGCTGGAGTTGTGCTATCTACATCAATGAGAAAGAACTATGCAAGAGACAAGCTGTGTCCACCATCCATCTGCAAGGGCTTTTCTTTTTACTAGCAAAGTACAAGAGGAAAGCAAAAATGGCACATACAAAGTCAGGAGATGACTGTGGTGGGGTAAGTGGGTTTCGTATCTTAGGAAGTGGAAGGCAAAGAAGAAAGTCTCACCACCCTCTCTGGGTTAAAAGCTCCATTGTGCGGTTAAGTTCTGCAAGGGCAGGTCTCAGCCCCCCAAGCAAGAACCCATGACGTGTAGAGCATGAGCTTGTTAGGGATAGGAGGACACACCCATGCATATACTTCAGATCTTCATTTACAGCACTACAAAACCACAAGGAACCCCCTTTCTCAAGGTTTGACAGTACCATCTTATTTGGCAATATGTCACTTCCATTGATTTCATTATGATGAAAGAAACAGATAAATTAACTAGAAGATATCTCCAGTTCCCTTTCAGCCCTCTTTTCTGCGTTTGGTGACTGATCTGTGCAAATGAACTAAGCACGTCAAGTAATACAGGTCTGATGCAACTAATACTGAAATCCATCGGTGATTTGTATTTATACTGGGTTGTGTCAAAAAATAAAAGTATGCTAGACATCAAACTACAGATTTCAAACATTAAACATCTGAGGCTGTTCTACAGAATGTCCTAATGGTTACAATGTTTGCATTGGACTACAGAGAACTGGCCTTCTCAGTCTAAGGCTATTTAAACTTAGGGCTCACAATGCAATGTTTTGTCAGTCAGGCTGTTGCTTTTTAAATGCACAAAACTGTGGAAGAAAGGGTACTCTCTTCAGCCACACTGTTCAAATTTTGCCACTGGTCAACAGAAAGCAGCTTTAGTCCAGTGGTTAGGACACTCAGTCAGGAGCAGGTAAGTCCTGTTCCATGAAAAGCTTTGTATTTTATATATAAGGGGATAAAATGAATAAAGACTTCATAGGAGAAAGGATCTGAACCCAGAACTTCCCCATTCCTAACTAGATGGTTTAATTACATCTTTCTCTCCAGTATGATGAATTTCAATTTCTTCTCAGTATGAAAAATCTTGTGATGTCAACTTCAAATTATTCCAAAGAATGGTACATTGTGAAGGAGTCACCTGTTAGCACAAAATGAAATAGAATACAACAGTTTGATCTTTAGACAAGGTAGGCAGAAAAAGGTTTTCTCATTTAATTTTACTTTGTTTAGCTCCTTGCTTTAAAGTGTTGGAAGTACTCAAAAGAAAGTGTTCCAAAAATCTCACAGTATTCTGGCTCACAATGTATCCCATGTACTTTTAGATGAGCATGAACTATACAAGATTATTGCATTTGAAGACTGTCCATATCTTCTCTTTTCAGATTTTGTTATATGAGATACCATTATTTCAGTCCTAGAAGAGCTCAGATTCAGGGTGTTATTTCTGACTTAACAAGTTATATCTGAGGTTTTTAGGAAACAGGATTAATGGAAGCTTTTTGGCACGCTTACTAAATCACGGGATAGAGATAGTCTCAAATGCTGATTATCACAGAAAAGATTAAACTCAATTTGGCATTCAAATATTAAAGAAAAAAATATTGCCATACATTAAAGAATTCCTGCCTTACAACGAATCTTATGATGAAGAACATCCTTGTATTTGACTACAACAGGAGAATCTGTTAGAACAGACTTCCTAGTGAGATTTCTATAGAAAGATAGTGAGATTACAGAAGCCTTGCTTCTGTCTGTAAATTTGAGTACTTGCCCAGAAGCTTCCAAACCTCAACCAGGACTGACTAAATTTGACAGAGAGGTAGAGGGCTCACTGATTCAGATGCAAGAAATTTCAGGAAAATTGGAGGTGGGGCAGATGGGACATGTTGAAGGAAATACAGGTATAACTCAAGCACTGTATATTCTGCATGGCAGCAGAAAACTTGCCTAGTCATCGTATGCCTTATGAAGCGCAGGCAGTTGATAAGGCAAGTTAAAAATGTCAGTGAAAAACAGCCAGTTGGTGCAGAAACAATTTGTAAAGCTTATGCAATTATCCTTTGTAGACACCTGTATGCGTCCTCTGAAAATTTTGACACCTTTTGCTCATTTTAATCAAACCTAATGAAGAGGTGGGGGTCTCAGAAGTAATTAAGTTCCTGAAAGCTTCAGGAACCATTTGCCAGAGTTTCCCACCTGAGGTTAATGCAGGTCTACAAGTTCACACTCCTTAGCTCTGAAGGGGAATAAGGATGCCTAGCAGAGTTTGTCTGATCTTAAAGTTACTTCTATTAATGTTTGGAGAAGTACATTCCACTCTGAGGTTGGTGTTTCTCAGTTTCTTTTCAAACAAGCCTGCTGTATTTCAGACTGAAAATAGAGGAGAGATTTCAGTTTAAGCTCCCATGAAGTGATTACAAATTTTGCTTTTAAGGCCAATCTAAATAGATTCTTCCAACCCAAGGAGTAAAGTTGTCAATCCAGGTAAACAGAGGAAATGCTAAGATGCTAAAAATCTCACCAAACATATTTTTCTTACAGTAAATCTAATCCAAAATTCAATGTATCAGACAAATAGGCTGTGAAAAATACTTTGTAGCTCAATAAATTGCCACCAACACTGCCAAGCCAGAGTACTGGAAAAGTCTTCTTGTAGTTTCATGAATTAAGCAGGAAACCTGAGAACCTGAGATTCTTCTGTTATATACTCAAAGATGTATAGGGACAATGTGACATGAAAGTGCTTGTATAAATAAGGCATAGGCCTCGATGTTTGTCAAATCTGAAATGATCAAATATAAATAAGCAAATATTTGACCTTTCAAAATTAGTAAGAGAGAAATGAAATTAGACAGTTTCAAATTTTCAACCTAAGTTGTGCCAAAATGGTTGTTATTTTTAAATGTTGTCAGACATCAAGTATGCTCCTATAGCCTTGAGATGCCTGCTTTATATTTTAACCTTTCCTAGTATCTAAATTTACAACCTTCTTCAGCTCAGTGAAGGGTCCAAAACCGCTGAAATCTAATGCAACACTAAAATGCCAAACCTTGTTATACAGGAGTGACACTAGTTTCAGTAGATTTCCTTTAATTTTGGATACCAATCAGTTCATGTCCACCACTTCCATTCAGCATAATATTTTATAAAAAAGTTATTTTTAAAGAAACGCTTTCTACCCATCAGCCTATTTTACATAGTGTTTCAAGAACTAGATGTTCCTTCCTTCAAATTAGCCTATTTCTGAAGAACTTTAAATACTACCAATTCATAAACAGTTCTATATGTTGCCAGCAATGTAGTAAAAATGCCTCATTGATTCAAAAAATGATTCAAAAAATGATTCAAAAACCCAAACTATTCTGAAAGACTTCAGATCTATAGCTTATTTTGAGAGAATAAATTTGAATCAGGCAATCAATTTTAAATCGTTACTTCTGAGCAAAGCTAAAAAGAAAATTAAAATGTGTACTGTGT